CGCTGTCCTATTCTTTGCCCAGCAGCAGCTAGGGAATGAGTCAAAACCTCAATTTCCTCATCTGTTAGATACATCAGCTTCAATATGTCAAAAGTATCAAACAATGTTGTGGCTGTTACTCCTCTGGCGAACCTTCCCGGAGATAAATAGACGATTTTGCGGCTCCTCCAAACGCTTTCTCCCTAAAATTTTGGGCAGGCCGAGTCACAAGTCCTCTCTGATTTGAAAGAATTAGTATTACAACACAGCCATTAGCAGCGGATTCTGGTAGGCCGGCAATAAAATGTGTCTTTTCAGGTGGCAGGATGCGGTCTGGAATCTGGGGTTGTTGTTTTGTTCCTGCGGGACATGCAGTCAGGGCAAGGGAATGTGTAAATGGAGTCGTTAGGTCGTTTTAGCTCAAACCCCTTTGAGTTACTATGAGACCTCATGTTTAGCATCTGACGTTTAAAACTCCGCCATCTGCGGGGAAAAAAAAAAAACAGAAACACAGCGACATGGTTTTAGGTTTGCAGATGAGTGTAAACACAAAATGCTCGGAATAATTGATTACCAACACTGGTATGCTGAGTAAAAAGGGAACAATCCAAATGGAGCTTTGGTATTGTTTAACAAACATGTAGAGTAGAAGAAGTGAGTACCCGATGTTAGGATTGTCAAAGAGGATTGCTAACTTTCGCTTGTCTGGTCTAATGGTTTTCGAATGTCCTCCATACAAATATCTCCGATGGCCCATGAGGAAATGAGGAAAATTTCCACCTTGTGTGGTCACAAATACCTCACTGTGGAGACAGACCGTGTAATCTATCGCAGCCATTCTGGAAGAGAAATTCTACAGACAGAGTTTCAAGTCAGAAAAAAAATTGATCACGAGAAATATTCACTGGAATAACAGCGGGAAAGAAGCAGACCTTATATGGAGCAAGTTCCTCCTCTGATGCAAGCATCTCCTTAGTTTGTAAATTTGGGAACATCTCTAGTAGCGGGGCCATTGTTCTATTCGCATTATATATCTGACCAGATGCAAGGTAAATATATGTGCTTTTGTTGAACCCCATTCCTCTAAGCATTAAACCAACCTGAAGGATTTGCAAGAAAAGTATAAACTAAAGAGAACAAGCAACACTATTGCTGACCAAACAGAAAACGAATTGATGAGTACCTCTAAAGGAGTTAACGGGCATTTTCCATTGAGTCTGATAGCACCAGGTCGAATAACACGGCCTGGTTTTGTGAACTTTCCTTTCCATCCTCGTTCTCTTGCTGCAATCATATCTTGTTTTTCTTGGTACCCACCATCAAATACACAACAGGAGAAAGCTACCATGTCCTGCAACATGAAAATATAGCTTATTATATACCTCACCTCAGATACAAAGCTCCCATTCAGAAATTTACAGCCATGATAAACACCAGTAACTCATTCTTTAGATATCTCTCCTTTACATGGAACAAACCTCTTCAAAACGCAGATGTACAGAAACGTACTTAGCGTCGTGGTTTGCACTTTGCTCCTTCATTCTCTTCACCAGTGTTTCTCCAAGGGTCAGGATGGGATTCGAAAACCTCAGGGCTTCGTAATTCGCCAAACATCTAAGTCTCTGGACTGCTTGAGGAGCATCAAACGAAAGTCTGTTTGCAAATGGGGATATTCTTATAACCCTGTGTCATGTAAAATAAGGGAGATTACTATCCTGTTACAGACCCACAACATCTCTTACACTAAAAATAAGGGGGTCTACTATCCTGTTAAGAACAATGTGTAGCCAACCTAGCACGTTAAAACAATCTTCTTAAAAACAAGTAGTAACTTACTTCTCCTCAAGTAGCTTTGGCAAGATAGAGTCCCGATAATATTGAATAGGTGACCATGCTTTAACTCTGAAGTTGTAGACATTTGTCATGTTACTGTCAAAACGCTCCATTAAATATTCAGGAATTGTATCAACCACCCGCACATCATTTGCTAAGGTACTGACAAAGAACTCTTCGTCGTAGATGTCCCCAAATTTACTGGAAGAAAACCCTCAGTCAGAAAGCAGTCTAAAAAAGATGGCTTTGCTTGAACAAACAATGTCAAAACAAGGTTTTCAAAAGAAATCAGTTTACAACCTTGGATCTCTCCATATGCTGTGATAGTGAAAGTTGGGAATTACTAAAGTTGCATTAAGATAGCCTGCCACAGCAACCGCATTGCATATCTAAGCATAACATGGTAGAGACAAGTCAACAGCTTTGACAAAAACAAGATTGCTAGACAGGATTGAGCGAAATGCATAAATCTCCTGTATCAAAAGATATCAACAAACCTACCGATGTCCGCTGCTGATTCAAGCCTCCATTTGCCTCAACATATATGAAACCATTTGACTCGGGCAAGGCTACAATTTAAAACAAAAAAAATGAATATGTAATTATTCAATTATTATCTATATAAAAGGCTAATTCTGCT